GCCGTAGCAGCGTGCGTACGGCCTCCCGGGCAGGCCTCGGGACGGACGGAGGGAAGGCCCGCCGTCCCTTCCAGACCCACATTTTCATCGTGGTAGATTGGCAGCTAGTTTAACGTTTCACAGACATTTAGCAAGGTCTGTGGTTCCAGAAATAGCAAACGAGTTAAGGGAAGCTTAACTCATGCTGAGCGCATAACTCGTGCTCAGGCTGTGGTTAGAAATACCGAACAGTCGCCGCTCGTAATGTTTACCGGTTGTTACTGGGCTTGCTTTGTCCCTTGCTTTTGTGCCTGTGCTCCCTTGTGATTTAAATACTTCATGGCAGACCTAGGTGCAAACATCTTTAATTGAGTCGCAGTGAGATGTTCAGGGGCACCTGTTCCAAGTGGTCTGATGCTCTCCAAAAGTCCTGTTCTGCAGAACAAAGAACGGAGAAGTCGCGTAGAAACGATCTTCGCTGGGAGAATTTACAGCTTTAAAATCCTTTTCCTCTACCAAGCCAGGGCATAACTTCCATTAGAAACGTTTGCAAAACAATGCTATGAGAAAAATGGAAAACCAGTCAAGATATGTGTAACCGATTTTATTTGGGTTTTCCTCCCTTTGTAATGTAAGTTATTACAGCATTTTAGACAAGTATTTTTAAACCAAAAATATCACCTTCATTTTAAAATGGGTCAAGATACAACATATCTTACTTAATTTCTTTTCCTTCTCCCTAGTAATCTGAAGGTCAGTTGAACAGAATGTTTTGCTGCAAAGAGATTAGATTAGGGGTGTCACTATTTTGTAAAGAGCAACATTTGAAACATTGTGGACAGCTCAAAATAACTTGAAGATTAATCCTTGCTCTCACTTGAAAACAGTCCCATACCTAGAAAGACTCAATGAAAAAAAGTTAGAAGTCTGGAGCCTAAAATCTGGTCAGAAAGAATTCTGCAGAAGACTTGAGAGGAAGAAGAGCATTTCTTCAAAAAATGTAAACTGAAATTATCAGTCATACCTACTGACTCTCTCTACTTGTATTGCTGCGTCCCTTGTGGGTTATACCAAGTGAAACCAAAGCAGGCTGCCCTCCCACTCAGGGGCACGATGTGTCTGATGATTTGGGGCATTTTTTGCAGTCCTTGTTGTAGATCCTCACCAACTATATTCTACAGCTCTGGGTTGTTCTAAGAAAAGGAGAGATAACAACGCAGCCATCATTCAGATAATAATTAAGATTCTACATATTTATCTCGGCAGCATTTCCCCAAGTTCCTGGGGGTCCATGTCCTTGACATCACAAGTGTATTCAGATCACCTTCTATCTCCAGCATACCTACCCTTTGTCTCAGAATTCACATTACTATGAAAATAGTACCTGGCAGAATCACTTTTAGTATTTTAAATTCAAGGTTAATCCCTTTTGATAGGAAAAATAAATACATTTCATGCGTTTTAATTGGATTATTTTTAAAACACAACTATCTTCAAGTTACAGTTTGCTCAAGAGTTGTAATTTAACAAATATACACTGCATTTTTAGGCATTTGTCTCTAAACGTGTTGTAGCATGTATTTTTTTGTGGACTTGAATTCCAAGTAGGTTTTTATGGCTAAAAAGTAACAATATGAATTTGAACCATCTTTAGGCTTCTGATTCACAACAGCTGTTCATAACAAAATAGCGAGGGTTCCTGCAATCCTAAACAGCTTCCCCTTCAGTCTAACAGATGTTCTGCCATGAGCTGGTGGTGCACACGTGGTCTGTTCAATGTGCCCAGATAAGGTTTGTGTGGCCTCGATTACCAGTGATTCAAAGGGCTCATGTATAAGCACAAGTTGGTCAAATTATTTACTTTCCTTGTGTACTGAAACCTACATTTCTTCATCATCCTGTAACCTCTGCCAGCTGTGAGCTTTTGAAAGTGGTAAGAAAGTTTCATTTTGTAACTGTGTGCAGTAGGTTGTTTTTCACGCCAAAGGAAGAACAGTTGTCCTTGCACACAAGCTAGCTAGTGAACAGCTTTGTTTGAACATGTGCTTTGTATTCTGACTTTTAATTGAACGTTCTTTGTATTTCAGTCTCCAAGCCAGCACCTTACTGGGAAGGAACAGCAGTCATTAATGGAGAGTTTAAAGAGCTGAAATTAACAGATTATGAAGGAAAATACCTTGACCGAAGGAAGAACAGTTGTCCTTGCACACAAGCTAGCTAGTGAACAGCTTTGTTTGAACATGTGCTTTGTATTCTGACTTTTAATTGAACGTTCTTTGTATTTCAGTCTCCAAGCCAGCACCTTACTGGGAAGGAACAGCAGTCATTAATGGAGAGTTTAAAGAGCTGAAATTAACAGATTATGAAGGAAAATACCTTGTCTTCTTCTTCTATCCTCTTGACTTGTAAGTAAGACCCCTGTAGGCGTACCAAGACCGAGTGCAGCTACGCTAGACTTGTAATTCATTAATTTTTCTCTTTTTTTGAGGTCTTGTTTTTTTGTTTGGTCAGGGTTTGGGGGAGAAGAAAGGAGCGACGGAAGAAAATATATTCTTTGCATTTGTGTTTTTATCATGCATTGGTAAAATTGTAACACAATCTTTGTCCTAATAAGCGTGTCTACTGATTTGTATCTCCACACAAAAAAGTAACTTTCAGTCTGTAGTACCCCGTCAGGCAACCTTTACGTTCTGTATCATGCTGCTGCAAACAGAAGACAGCATCCCATCTATGTTTTCCAGAGTGTATGTAGGACATTAAGAGATGGCATTTTCCCTTTAAGTTCTTCCCATAACATCCTAAGAACATCTAACATTACCCTCCTTTATTTAGAATGCAGTAACTTCACTGGTTGAGTGTAAACACCTCAGCTTTCTACCAGACAATCCCATTCTTTTCCACAAAATGAAGAGGACAGAGATGCATCACTACCTTAATATTATAAAGGAAAGAACATGGCTTTTCGCCCTGAGCTTCGAGGCCCTAGAAATTGTGATCTTTATCACTTTATTTCTTCTGTAGTGGAAAAAGTTCAAGTCAAAATAGTTAAAATTTGCAGACATGCAGGGTAACAAGAAATTATAGTATGTTCCTCTGAAAAAAGTTGGCATATTGTGCTTAAATGCAGCCATTTAATATTCATAAAGTCTAAAAGAAAGTAATTGTAAAAACACTTGTATCCCAATTGTCAGCCAACCGTAGGTTTATAATCTTCTTCAGTAATAAACCGTTTGTAACTAAGCTAGAGTCTGAGGCTGGGAGATTTGTCAGGCAGCATTTTGGTTAAATACTTGAAGAAGCAATAAAAAATAAGTAAAAGCTGAAACCATTTATGATAAATCCACCATTTTATGTTAAACAGAATTTACTGGAGGTCTCATGAAATTTTGTCTTTATCTTGTTTTAAATTATCTAGTACATTTGTATGTCCAACTGAGATAATCGCCTTCAGTGACAGAATTGAAGAATTCAGAGCAATAAATACCGAAGTAGTAGCATGTTCTGTGGACTCAAAGTTCACTCACTTAGCATGGTATGTACCTGATCCTTGTCTTTTGCTAAAAATTATTCATGGGTCCATCTTAGCTGAAGAACTGCATCCCCAGATTTGTAGCCTACGAAGGTATATCATAATGTGTAAAAGCATGATACTATTGATACAGATGTTTAAAATATTTTTCAGTGGTAAAAATTTTTAACCCTAGTGTGTGAAAGTACCTTTATCTTTGAAGCTTGTTTAATATGTACTGCTTGAAATATACCATGTCTCAGTCCAAAAAAATATTTCAAATACAAAAGAAAAAAAGAGATAAGGATGCAAGTATCTATAAACGCGTTACACTGTCCCAGTTCATGAGCACATTGGTATAAAGCGAATACGACTGATAAGAAAGAGGTCGCTATTAATAGTTGTGGCCAAAAAACTGCAAAAGATCTACTGAACGTTTTGCTCGAGCCATAAATAGTATTCATCTCCCTTGTGTGCAGAACAAGAAAAATGTCACTTGCACTAAATCCTTCTGTGTGTACTGTTCTGGCTTGTGACTTTTAACTTTGTGTAGAGAATATAAATCTTTGTGAGAAATACATCTGTATCTCATTTCTTTCAAAGGATTAATACTCCTCGAAAACAAGGGGGACTTGGACCTATGAAGATTCCGCTTCTTTCAGATTTGACACACCAAATTTCAAAGGATTATGGTGTATATCTGGAAGACCAAGGGCACGCACTTAGGTATTTCACTTGGTTACAGTTCATTTTGTTCTGCTGGAGTAGTACTTACTACTTTATATCTAAAGAAGCATTTGAAATTTTTCTTTGAGAGCAGTTTTTACTTGGGGATTCATGCTGAGAGACAAAATATATATTGAAGAACACAAAAAATTAGCCGTATTGAGTCAGAACGGGGTGGAGGTTAATATCCTGTTTAACAGCAGTCATCAGCAGATACTTAGGGCAGGGCAACCACGCAGAATACCCCAGAACTGCAGTTACTCAGGGAACTCCCAAGTCCAAGTGGAGTCAAGTCTAAGGGTAACCAATGGCCTCAAGAGAGACATCTTTCATAAACTTGATTAGTTGCTTTTGGGATCCCTGTAACGTCATAGCATCTGCAACATGCCCTGGCAGGGCCTGCCAAAGCTTAGTTTTATGTTCTGCAAAGAACTATCCTTTTTTGGTTTTAACTTGCCGTCAGCTCGTGTCATCTGATACCCCAGGTAAAGAATAGTAGGTTGGTGGTATTCTGAAGTGGTGGGTATTGTATGGTGTTTGCAGAGATCAAATTCTTCCCACCCAACAGACATAAAATAGTATGTAAACACAACACTGTAATTACTTCTGTTTCCTAACACATACAAAAAAATGTTTTCACAGAGGCCTTTTCATTATTGACGATAAGAGAATCCTTCGACAGATCACGATGAATGACCTTCCTGTTGGGAGATCGGTGGATGAAACGCTTCGTTTAGTACAAGCATTCCAATACACAGACAAACACGGAGAAGGTGCTCTTTTAAATACTTTCATGTTGAAGATTGTTTTACTTAGACTGGAAGCTGTATTTGTAGCTTTTTGGAAGAAAGGTGCTCAGTAGCATTAGAGACTAGCCTCATGCAGTGAGTGACGTGGTTTGATTGCCCTGCTACAAGAGTCTGTGGTCCTGGTACCTCCATAGGTTGTTTCTAGTGTAGTAATTCACATTTTGCTTCACACCCATGAGAATGCGGAGCACAAAGCATTCCTTAGTCTGAATTAAGGCATTGTGTACCATCTGTCACAAGTATGAATCTGTACAAAATATGAGGCCATGAAGAATCGGGCCCGATATTTCAGTACATTTTGACATACTAAAATAATTGAGATGCAGGCCATCCTTGTCCTGTGTCGTTCACTGAGGATCTGTGACAAGTAATTGAGGGTGCTTCATGTAGGTACATGGTGATACTGTGAAAGTTAGACCGCCATGACTCGTGTTTTCTTTGCAAGTGCTATGTGATCATCTTCCCCTGACAAAGAAGCTTTCACTGGCTTCAGATCATTTACTTTGTCTCAAGAATTCATATCCCCCCAGTTCAAGCATAGGGTGAGCTTTTCACATTTCTTTAACTAATGTGTTTAAATAAACACATTCATTGTTTTAAAGATTTGTTTAAATATTAATACACGTGTTCAGCAGCTTAACTTCCATTTCAACTCAATTTCACCTGGCATTTGAAAGTACCTTTATCTGAAGGTACAAGTGATTATTACGCTCCGCTGTACAGATTTAAAAAGATAAATGCTGATACTTAGGCTACGCGCATTTGACTACAGAAATTTAACCTCTCTTACTTAGTTACAAATCTGTCTTATGGAATATTGATCTGCAGTGTGTTTCCAGAGTACCACATTTTTTTTCCAGCTGTACGTGGAATCTCACCAGCTTTTGCATGAATGCTGAGGAGAGCCTCCCTAGACGCCTTCTTGGATTCTTTGCACAGAACAGGAAAAAAAGTTCTCCACAATTCCTAATTGCATTTGTGGTATTTTGCCTGAGAGTATGCCTTAAAGCAGCGTAATATGGCACACCTCATTGGGCTAAAGCCTCAGAGGGAGAGCTCTGAGCATGTAAGAGCTTCACTCCAGAATGTGCAGCTGTACAGGTGGTCACAGGGCTCTCAGCCACGCTGCACGCTAACCGCATGCTATAATCCCTTGACTCCTGAGCAAGGCTTCAAATAAAATCACTCAGTCTCTTGTGGAATCTTTAAACTGCTTTCTTTGCTAAAAAATTCCCCCTAGCATTGGTTTTAAAGAAAGAAAGGTAGGTCTCTGTGTGCTCACCTAAATTTTATCATGAAACTTTTGTTTCTACTAGAATAGGTGTTCATTCTCAGATACTGCTTTGCCAGTACTTTGTCTAGAAGGGCACGAGAATTGAACCAAGGCATAGACACCCATCCAGAGATACGCAGTTTCCAGTTAACAGAAGTGGTAGGTGGTATCAGGTATAAACTGTTACGACACCATCCCATGTATAAAGAAAACTGCGTATTTAATAGTTGCAGATATTTACATGTGACACTTGTGTGCTGTTTTACTTCAAGTTCAGAAAGAGAATATTAAGTCCACAAAAGTAAGCGTGCGTAAAAATACTTTTACTAACTTTGTCTCTTTTTTTTTTTTTCCAGTTTGCCCTGCTGGTTGGAAACCTGGCAGTGAAACAGTAAGTCACTGTTTATATTTAAAGGCATGTACTACTAGAAAACACTCAGTCATCATTTCCACTAAAGCCAAATCCAAAGTCTTTGCAACTTTCAACGAGACGATATGAGTAAACTCACATTATTACAGTTACAGCTTTTGGATTACTACTGATTTCATTAGGAGCTCATTTCCCTCACACTAGACATATTCCGGTTGTTTCAAATTCCCTGTGTATGAACAAAACTCTCTTGAGCGGCAATGAGTTTGTGATCAAAAACTTTTTTTCCTGTTAACACCTGATGAGAGGAAGTTGGAAACTCTTGAGTTTGTCCTATCTTCTCAGTTATTTGTCCATATAAATTCTTTGCTCTGTTGCATCTTACTGTGGATCCCAGGTTCCCCGGCTGCCGCAGTATCTGACAGAGCTCGTGTGCCACTATCAGAACTCCAGCAGAGAGCACTGCTTTGCTGCGCAGTAGCTCTTCCTCCTTTGTTACTACTCGCCTACACGTGACTACAAGCAGAAGAGCTAGGGTTCAGATTAACACCCACTGAACTTGTTTGTGTTCTCTGAGCTTGGACCAAGCCTCAGCAGAATAATGAAACTTTCACTAGAGGTCTGAGCTGCCTAGTTCAGATGAGATCACTGTCATTTATTTGAGCATGTGGCTTTCTTCTGAACCATCTGGTGATGACAGAGCATTGTTGTTTAAGAGCTGTCTCGACAAAAAGCGGGTCCCAGCAGCCTCTAAGCAGAGTAGCGAGCATTGTAATTGATAGTAAAAACAGTGGAATGTTAAACCATGTTTCTTTGCTGGATGTGAAAACTTCCCAGGATGACTTGAGGCTAGCAGTCACCCCTCTCAAGCTAGCAGAAGAGTGTCTTAGTGGGGGAAGCTGGATATTAAGACTGTAAAATGAAAGAGGCTGGCCTAACAGACATATTTTGGCACTGAAACGTTCTGCCCTCTGTAACCACGGATTACCTAAATAATATGACATTAACATATTTTCTAAAAAAGCCTTACAATGCCGAGATTAACAACTCCAATGCTGCCAATTTAAAGATCTAAAACCATACATAAGCATTCTCTTTATCCTCCGTGCAAAAGATGCAGATAATTTAAATAGCAGAGTAGTTCCAAAAGACTTTCTCGAAGATGTAGCCATGCCTTCTAAATGTGTTTGATTTAATTAGATCAAACCAGAGGAAGCCATGAGAGTGTGGTGGCCAAGGGAAGAACTGTAAGTAAATTCTAAGACTCTGGATTACAGGCGTTAATTTATTAAAGTATCTGGGGTTTGGGGCAAACAACATAGAAGGACGTGCTCCCAACTGTCCAAATTCTTCCTTTGGTAGGCTGCACTCTCTCTTCCCCCAGTTAGTTAAATCTTTCTGCTTACTGCTGTTAGGTACCTTTAGAGGTAAAGAGTAATCTAGTATCAAGTCAACTGATAAATTACTCTTCAGTGTTGCTTGTGGGTTGGCCTTAGCATCATACTGTGCAATACTATGCTGTTCTGGTTTTATAGTTTGTTGTGTTTGCGTGGCTTTGTTTTTAGACTAACATTTTCATTTTCTTTCTTGCAGATAATTCCAGATCCAGCTGGAAAACTGAAGTATTTTGATAAACTAAACTGAGGCTCGCTTCTGTTGAATTACATAGGTCACATTCAACTGGATTTTTGCCAATAAAATTTCGTTAATTTTGTTACTTTCACGAGTTTGACCAATATGTAACTGCAGTAGACCATTAAAGGTCTTGTTGCTTAAACAGGAGTCTAACCTGTGTGAAGCATGGGTACCTCATTAGTTATCAGAGAATATTCTTGTGAAACACCTTTTCCCTGTAAGTCTTGTTTAGATGCTTGGTTCTCCCAAAACCTGCTTCTCCTAGCATCTCGGGCTTAGATTCATGACTCTTGCTGTTGATAGATTACTTAATTTCTGTGAAAATCTTGTCTGCTTGGTCACGTTCTAGGAGCTACAGCTAGAAAAGAGCCACCTGGTTACGGTACATTAGTCTGTAGTCCAGAGGCAATAGCAGCTAACCCAAAAGCCAGAAATGAAGTTACAGATGCCGATTTAAATTTCCAGTCTGTCCAAAGCTGGAAAACATTTTTAAACTACTAATAACATATCCTACACTATACAAATCAGTACAACTGCACTGAAGAAAATACAGCTCTGCCAGTTCATGTGGTTCAAGAGCTGAACCAGTAATTTTTTCCATGCTTCTATTTCTAGTGTGTGTGCTGATAAGATCAATGCCATTTCACACGGTCTGAATTTTTCCCTGGCCCTACACTGTTAACAGAGGTACAGTTGTTAGTGTCCTGTGCTGATCCACTCGTTAACCGTGGCTCCTAGTTTTAAGGGAGTAATTGCAGTCTTTCCCAAGATTGGTATTGACATATCTGGTGACCATCAGAAACTCTTGTGGCTCACGTACATGAATTTCTTCTTTCAAGGGAAAAAAGAACATCTCCGTGTAAGACATACTTCATACTTGTGTGCAATGGAGATCTCTTGCTTAAGAATGTCTTCTCTTGCTCCTTTCCACCTTTCCCTCTTTTTAACACGGTGTTCTAGAGTCTGTGCAACTGGAAAAATGGCACCTAAAGTCAGTGTCAGCCCTTCAGCAGGGTCATCCTTGAAAAGGCCAGAGAGAAGGCTTCCTCCCTGCTCCAATCCAGCACCGCTAGGTTATTACTCTTGGTTGGATCCCACGCTCGTGAGAACTTGCTTCCCCTTCCCCTGCCAGACCACACAATTCCCTTCCCTATACACAGACGCTTCAGTACAGTTCTGCAGAACTAGACCGGCAGCTGCATTCTGACTGTAAAGTTACCTGATTTTGTAGACTTTGGAAAGTATTGAGCGGCTCTCCGGATTAGTCACTGCAGGCAGAGAGCAGAAGCGCCTGCTTGACTTTTGCTTCAGCTCTCATAGAAGTAACACCTAAGCGCGTGCCTAGGGCAGAGGGAACCATGGCCAGAGCAAGCAGAGCTCCACCGAGCCCCAGCCCCCCTCCTGCCCCGTCCCCGCGAGGCCTGGGGAAAGGAGGAGCTCCTGATCCCATCCAGAGGGTAATGGAGGCACAGCGGGACCGAGGCCAAGCGCCAAAGGCTGGCAATGTGCTGCTCCAGCCCATGTGATCTCAAAGACCAGAGGGCAGCATGTCGAGAGGCGGTTTCTCGCATTACTAGGCTGTAAATCAGCCGCTTGAATTTCACTCGGGATCTTGTTTACAGCCTGTATCAACCCTGAAACACCAAAAACATCATCAACACAGAGAACATTCAAGTAACTCCAAGCAACCGCAGCGTGACGAATGCAGGCCCAGCTATTACATGAATATCCATAAGCAGCCCAAGGCACAAACCAAACCTAACACTCGTGTCTGCCTTAGAAATAGCGCTTGTGCCCTCTTCTTCAGCGGCTTTGCCTGCCTCTCCAGCCAGGTCGCTCTCCTTCACACCTAATGCTCTCCCAGCAGCAAAAACCTCTGTGGCACTAAGCCAGCCAATGATAAAGACAGAAATGAGTTATCACCCGCACGTTGAACACGCTCCATCCAGCCCACGGCTCCATGCGGAGCCAGGCGAGTAGCAAGTTGCAGCAACAAAACCACAGGTTGTATCGCTGTAGCACATACAGCAGCAACAGCATCAAACAAAAGCAGATGTCGAAAGCTGAGCCAAGAAAAGAAAACAGGACTGCGAACACTTACTGACTGAAGAAAACTGAGGCCATCTGCACACTTTGAACGCTGCAGATTTAGGTCCGCAGCAGTGTAGCTGTGCCAAATTTGAAGGCCCCAGCCCTCTAAACGCATGTGGTAAGGAATGGGCTAAGGAATTACTTCTTTTTAAAAGCAATTCAATAGGAATAAAAAGTCTTAGGGAAATACTCCTTAAGCAAAGACCTGAGTCGCTATGTCACATTACATATTTGAAATGAAAGATTATTTCTATGGAAAGAGAGAATGGTGTTTTACAGAGATTTGGATATGCTGGAAGGAAAAGACTGGGCAAAAAAATGCAAAAGTGCTGGCATTTGAGGGGGAGAAGTGAGAGATTGGGGGGGGCAGGAAACAAAGGCAGATCCTCAGTTACACACCGCCTCCAGGGAAAAGGGAAACCGAAGGACAGAAGATGAGATCCCTGAATAGAAGAATAACATTGGAAACTCGGCGGGGGGGCGGGGAGGGAGAAACACCGAAGTCTGTGGGTTTGGGATCATAAGGATTTGCAGATGTGCAAGACAAATGGCAAGCTGAGGATCTGGCTTATCGCTACCTACTAAAGCTACTGCCTTCCTCTTGCTCTACTATCGAGAACTTGTTTTCAGCATACCTTGGGATAACGTGTACCATTTAATGTCATCAGCTGATTTTTGTACTACCCTCCATCATACAACAGCCTGATGAGCAGCCCTAAGCAGTACAGCGCTTCCTTGGGTGGTTGTTCCCCCGGCTGCGGGGAGAAGTCAAGGAAGGAGTGACAGAAAGCAGGACTAGAAACTAACGATACATGAACAGAGCAAATAAAGCTCCTGAAAGTACAAGGCCCTATTCTGAACTGACATTTCCTAGAAGAATCATGCTCTCTGACCTTCGTACACATACTATATATACACCTGATAAACGCAGTGAAATAGCAGTGAATTGATAACGCAACTTTAAGGATGATGCTGTGATAGCTATTTCAGAGGCTCACGTGGCTGTTTAATTCTTTGTATTATATAATCAGCATGTGGAGGGTTTGAGATCTTCCAGCAAAACCATCAAGAAAAAATTAATTTCAAAATCAGAGTCTAGTAGTACCAGTATCTCAGATAGGATTATCCAGCAGGCAAAGGATTTAAAAGGTTTGCTTTGCCCTTCTGTGTTTCGATTAACAGACTGCTGCCTAGCTCTGGTCTCAAAGTCTGCCTCATATTAAGTACATATAAAATATGTCTGAGCTGAAGGACAGTTACTGGGAGACTAAGCAACACTGGAGTACTTTAGTATCACGTATGGTTTGCAGTTGACAAAGATAAAATATAGGCAGCTTCAATTAAACAGCTGAAGTTGATTCCGACTCCTTAGTGATAAAGAAATGCTGGGGCAGTACAGAAACCCACTCCTCTTCCACATGCACGTCACTAATTCTTGCCTAGTGCTTGGATTAGGGATTGCCATGGCCTTGTTGGCATACCTGGAAATGTCTTATGCACAGGTGTAGGAGCAAAATCTTCAGATAAGCACAAGCAGGACAAAAATTAAAATCCTAATTATTTTTTAGGCAACAAATAAAAAGTGACATCATCTTCTGAAAGAAAGAAGATCCACCAGCAAACTTCACTGAAGTCCACATTGCGATGGACATCCTTAGCACTGCTTGAAATATGACCCTTTCAAATGTTGGTGCAGAGTCTAAGAACCTGATTTCCAGCTGCCGGTTTGAAAACGGTGATCCACATCATGGCAACCTCAGAGGAATTCAGGTAGACTGGGCAGTGCCACCTGCAATGGCCTCTCACAAAACAGGAACTGAACGAACGACACAGTGGTCTGTTCTTCCAGTACTCTTCACCTGAGGTTTGAAATAGGGGAAGAGTTAAATCTCACACAGCTCTGCTTCCCAAACCCTGGGATGTATTCACGGGCCTCTCTTGGAAGTGCGTGAAATGCAGATGCACGGAACTGCCACTGTGAACTTGTCTTTTCAAAAAAAAAAGCAAAGAGCTCCTGCAAAGCAAGTAATAACTAGTAATGAGACGCTCTGCCTTCAACTTCCACTGCTGTTTCAGGCAAGCCTCTCACTCGCCTCGACCGCTATCTCAACGGTTAAAGAGAAACTTTATACACCAGTGAGGCCTGCAGGTGAAAGCCACCTCTCCAAGCAGAAAAGATTTAGCTGCGATAGGAACTTTCATGACAACCCCACCATCGCCGCCTTTGGGACGGGTACTCCAGCAAGCCTACCTCACTGAACAACACCCGCAGATGCTGCCCCACCGCCCCCGGATGCTCTGAAAAAGTTCTGCCTCCCAAGGCAGCCAGCCCTGCCTCTCCTGCGGTGCAGAGCCCTGGCACTAGCCTCCTTGCGACGCCTGTAAGAAGAAACTCGCTTTTAGCAGCATTTAATTCTGGAGACGACCCCCTCGTAGGCTCCCCACCAGCCTGGCCGACACAGAGGACCCGGGGGACTGGCCCCTGCTGCGGGACTGCACCTGAATTTTCTGCTGAACACTTACCAGGTAAAGTAAAGAAGCGACGCTGTGAGCAGGGACCAGAACCCCTACCACTGGCCTTTCTGAGTACCCCAAGCACCAGTCCCCCAGAGCCATGCTCCCCTCCTCCAGAAATCTCCCATTTCTGCTAGGTAACAGAAGACAAAAGAGTAAGGAGCAGCCAATGCCCAGAAGTGCCTGCAGCCTCGTGGATAGGAGGCCTGCAGGGACAAGGATCCCCTCCTGTCAGGGCAAGTGCTCCAGTGTATTTTCTATGCAGGTATCGTCATCCAACTACACCTTCCACAAAAGCAGTCCCCAGTTTCTCTTTCACGAAAGCTGAATATTTACCCTTTTGTTTTCCTGTTAGCTAGTGCCTAGCCCGTGAAGAAATAATCTCTCCCACACCTAGTTAAAAACGCATTCAGAGGAGGACCAGCAATCAACCAAACCCGTCACCAGACAAAGGCTGGACTGAACGTGCAGTAAAACC